GGCGCGCCCGAGCGGCGTGGGGCTCACGCCGTGGGGCTCACGCCGTCGGCAGCGCCGGCACCCCGGACTGGAGTCGTGCAGGTAGGTCGGAACGCGACGCCCCCAGTTCACGGAGGAGGAGCCAAGCCGACCGAAGTGGTGGAGGAGAAGGACCGGGTAAGGGGACGCAGCAGGTGAGGTTGACCGAGCAGGTGCGGCTACCTGTCCACACCTCGCCTGGGGGCAGGTGCCGGACCGGAGAGAGAAGCCACGGCTTCGCTGCCCTCACGCCTCCGGGAGAGAGGGGGTGGTACCCCTGAGAGGACCTCTTCTGGGTGCTGGGATCATTTGGGGCAAGAGGAGTGGGTGGTCGCGACGAGGCATTCCCCTCTTTACTCCAGCAGTCGAGGCACAGCACCTGAATGTGAGTTCTGGGGCTGGTGCGGGGAAAGATTTTCTGGTTTCCCATGCTAGAGGTTCGCCCTTCCCAGGTGTGCAGAACCCCCCACTCGCCAGGACGTCCGCGTTTGGTCGTTTCTGTTTTTCCCTGCCCTGGAGCTGTTTGCTGGCAAATATCGTTTGCTCCTTGGTTACTCGTTGTTTGCCTACATTTTGATGGAGGTGTTCGAGGTTGTTTAAGGGAGAAGAAGGCAACCGTTACCCATTTAAAGAGAGAAGCTCAAGAGTTTACTCCTCCGGGGCTGCCGTGGAGCAGGTGCTGAGAGGTCAGAAGGGAGGGGCTCGGTGTTGGCTCTTTCACTGTGTCCTCAACTGACTTCCCAAAGTCCATAGGTTGCCTTTAGTCAGATGACATTCGTGGAAGACTTTTCTTTGTGGTCAGAAAGAAAAAGATTATCCTCCAGCCACCCCCACCCCCACCCCCGGCAAAAGGGACAAACCTAAATTTAAAAAACAAAAAACTATGCGTTAACTTCTTTAAATGAATGTCACCTTACCTAAAAAACTCAAAAAACTACTCTGTAAAAAAGATCAGTATGAAATTTTAAATTATAAATATAATATATAAATATATATTAAATTATAAAAATAGGCACTTTGTTCAGTGCTTTCTAAGGGGAGATGAAATGGTGTGCATCTTTATCAAATTGTTGCATCTCCTAAACCTAAGGGTAGGATTGAAGTACGCAAAAGTCAAACTGCAGTATAGTTATTTCAACAATTCCAATACCCTTGATGTGTTCAGGTTACACCTCCTGAGAACCCAGAATGCCCTTTGGGTTGTTGGTGCTGAGGTGATTTTCCTTTGCCCCTGGCTTCCTAGTCAGCAGTTCCACTCTTGAAGAGAATATAAAATGACAGTTAATCCTCTAGATAATTGGGCCTGTGTGATTTAAGGATATTAGCCCTAACACGTCTGACATTTCTCTCAGCTAAAAAGAGAGCTCTTAGTTCAGGTAGTGAAGGGGGCAAAGTTGTCACCGAGTGTACAGTTGAGTCATGGCATTTTTCGTATACCTACAATCTGAAAAAAAAAAGTTTTTATTATAGAAAAAAATTCTACTTGTTAGAATTAAGTTTACTATTTTTTGTTTTTCTGCAATTGGAAAGGTGCTCTGACATGTCCAGGCTAACATGAATATTTTTTGCATTTTAAGCGATTTTGACTAGTTAAGATTTGCTTTTTTAAGATACTTTCTTCTGGCAGGGATCACAATAGAGGTCCTGGACAGAGCGAGAGAAGAATGTAAAACAAAATTCATATTCACAAAAAAGACCAGACTTACTGGTCTGACAGAGACTAGAGGACCCCCAAGACTGTGGCCCCCCGGACACCTTCTAACTCAGAACTAAAGCTACTCCCGTAGTTCACTTTTCAGCCAAAGATTAGACAGGCCTATAAAACAAACAATAACACACTTGAGGAACATGCTTCTTAGTTCAACCAAGTATACGAGACCAAATGGGCAGCTCCTGCCCAAAAGCAAAGATGAGAAGTCTGGAAGGGACAGGAAAACTGGATGAATGGAAATGGGGAACCTGGGGTGGAAAGGGGGAAAATGCTGATACATTGTGAGGATTGCAACCAATGTCACAAAACAATTTGTATATCAGTTTTTGGATGAAAAACTAATTTGTGCTGTAAACTTTCCCCTAAAGCACAATAAAATTCAAAAAAAGGAAAGATACCTTCTTGCCTCTCCCACCTTCCCCTTTGCTGGTTCTAGCTTTAGGGTTCTCAGAATGAAATTGCCAACATGAGTTAAAGTGAAAACTGCCCCAATCAATAAAATGTGGAGAAGATCATCCTCTAAGTTTTCTTATATTAATCTATGTGGTGGTTTTCCTAGAATGCTTCCCCTGCTTGTGACCTGTGAGATTGGCAGTGACCTAAAATTTAACCATTTTTGTTTTGTTTTGTTTCTGAAGTTGAGGGAGGTATTCTAATATTTAGAAGATTTTTGCTTTAACCTAAATTTTGTTTTTGTTTAGACTCAAGTTGTTTTTTTAATTTTCAATCCTTTTAATGATATCTGAGTATTTTTATCTTACCTTTTGGGTTTTATACTTTCCATACAGAAATAGCCTGCTTAATCCAATCCACAAATTCTATTTAATGCCTCGCAAGTTGATTTCCCAAATTTTGTTTCTCTTTTCCAACATCCTTCCAGCATACACTGGTACTATCAGGAACTAATGCATTCTAACTCAGTCGTGTCACCCCAGACTTGGTGGAATGGTTTTCATTGCCTTTTATATAGAACGCCCCTCAGTGCTGTCTTGACTCACAGGTTATTGGAAGCTCTGGCAAAAAATGTAGGCCTGTGACCTCCCAAATGGAACTTGGGAGGCTCATGTATAGTGCAGAATTTATTTAAGCAATTGTAAAATACATTTTAATTTGTGTCATGTCTGCTGTCATATTGTTGCCTTTTCTTTTATTGCTATTGCCTGCTGTCATTTTATTTCCCGTCTTTATTTTCTGAACCTTCCTACGTGCCTTTAATATGACTTTGTTTTCTCTGGGGTTTAAAATAATGCCCTATGGCAGCCATAATAACCTATCTTTCTTCTTTTGCATCATTAAGATTAATCTTAAATAAAATTAGGCCTAACTCCAATCACTGAATCTCACTCCTAAGTTCTTACCACTATTATTTGTTTAGAAATTGAGCAACGGGTAATAGTAGACTCCCTGTTCTATGGCTTCCTTTCACTTAGGATTCCATTCAATTTCAGCACAGTTTAAATTCACTCCTCCAGTGCGGTAGTGAACCCATGTGAAGGAAATGAATAAAAACGAGTTGTCAGACTTTCAGCCTTGTCCTTTCCTTTTTGCTTTTTTGACCTTTATATTGTCTTTGATATGGGTCACATGATTCTGCTTGTCCCCTTCCAAACTGTTCATCTTTGAACTTCATCTCTTGCTTCTCTGATTTCAGAGTCCCTTATAATTCTTCCTTCTTGTCTGTCTTGTCCTGTGGCCATTCTCCATGGCTCCATTCTGCAATGTCTACTCTTCAGCCAACAGCATCTTTCACAGAAGCTCTCAGCTGCACAGCTTCTAATTCTCTTTCCGGCTCCCTGCACGTGACTGAGATCTGCCTCTGGGCCTCTCTGATGGAGACTAAATTCTTTACTGTTGAGTAACATATTCCTTTTGATTCTTACTCGGGTATGCAGATTTGAAAGCATATTTGAAACTTCCTTCTTTTCCTCTGCAAATGCCTTTTCAGCATTTGCAACACTTTTTTTTTTTTTTCCTTCAAAATATATTGCAAATTATAAGCATAAGTTCTTCAGGCTTTTACTTAAAAGCATGGATTTTCCAAACCAATGGGCCTGGGCTTGAACCTTGTGCCATCACTTTGGATAAGTTACTGGATTAGTTAAGATTTAGCTGCCAGTTGCAGAGACCCCAGAGAACAGTAGTTTAAACGAGATGATGTTTGTTTTTCCCTCACATGAAGAAAGTTCATAGAGAGACAATCCAGGGCTGGTATGGTGGTTCCACAGTCTTCTGAAACCTAGGAGGTTCCCCCTTTTCGTTCCACCATATATAAGGTCAGGCTGTTATCTTCATTGTCCAAGACGGAGCTTCATCCATCACATCTAAGTTTCAAGTAGCAGGAACAGAGGAAAGAAGAAAGAGAAAAAGAGTTGGGGTAAGGGGGAGGCAAGAGCCTATGGTCTCTTAGTGAAATTTCCTGGAAGCTGTCATACAGTACTTCTTCTTAAATCTCATTGGCCAGAACTTAGTGACATGGCCTCACCTAGCTGCAACAGAGACTGAGGAATATTGCCTTTGCTCCAGGCAGCTTTGTGCCCATCTATAAAGTAGAGGGTTCCCATCCTGAGGAAGAAGGAAGAGGTAGAAATGAACATTGAGGTAGCCAAACACCAGTTATTCTAAACTTCTTTTTTCTTGAGTAATATAACCTATCTCACAGGGTTCTTAAGATTTAAAGAAATATTGCATGGTAAAGCATTTAATACAGTATCTGGCATAAAATAAACCTTCGGTAAAGGTTATTTTCTATTCCTCCTTGTTCCCTTTTCATGAATTGTTTAGTTTCCCTGCTGCCACATCGTTGGTCTCTAGAAATCTTATCTTAAACACTTGGACATTTGCCTGAACTGGTGGTACCAGAGCTGTTCTTGTACGTTTTCATGGTAGGGAAACGGGAGGTTTGAGTGGCAAGGAGCAAGACATTATTGGTCAATGTCTACATTTATTTCTTAGCTTAAAAACATGGCTTAGATTAAAAACATGGCTCTTCAAATTCAGTAGGCCTGAATATGAGTCCTGGCTCTGCCACTTACTCACTATGCAAACTCAGCCTCTCTCGGTCTCAATTTCCTCATCTGTAAGCGTGGGTTATAATTGGGTATGAAGATTAAATGAAATAATTATATGAAGTGATTAATACTGTACCTGATGTAGTGATAGCTTTTCATTTCTTTTTAATTTGACCTAATCTGGATCATTCTTTTAAAAAATGAACTCATTTCATTTTTAAAAAGTTTTAAAATTAGGTATCACCATACATATCCAAATGAGTGTTGTTAAGTTGCTAGTCAAACTTTTTGATCTCCAAAATCAGTTTATAACCCACATAGCAGAGAAAGCTTTCCTGCCTCTTTGATCCAAAACAGAATAGGTTGGCCTGACGATTTACCTTCCTCAGGCTTGATTTGAGTGATATTTTACTAATCTACTCTCAGAAGCTGCAAG